GAAGGGTCTCCGGAAGAAACATACTGGTGATTTGTTGATAAATGTGTATTCCCAGGTACAGGTGGCTGGGACGGTGCAGGAGGATACTGGTTCATCTGTGATCCCATGGACGGATAGCTATGCTGCCAATTCACAGGTGGCAGCGGACTGGCTCCAGGAAGAAAGCCACCAGAAGGCCTTGGTGTAGCAGCTGGACTCTGAGATGCAGGAACCAGCGTTCGGGGAACAGGACCACTATGGAGTGAGGGTGCTACTGGATTAGCAGCCACAGGTGGTCTATGAAGAGTTTGCCCAGGTCCCTGAGAACCACCATAGTGAGACTGTCCAGAGGCTGGATTCAAAGTCTTTGCTGGTATCAGATGAGGGTAGGATCCTGGAAGCTGGGAATTATATCCTTGGTTCACTGCCACTTGTGAAGACATCACTGCACTGTGGACAGGACCTTCCAATAAGAGAAGAAAAAATTAGTCTCACAAATAAATATAACAATACTTTAAAAAAATACAGTAGGCACTAGAGATGCAGCCCAGTGCTAGGCAGAGTACTTGCCTAGCATGCAGGAGGCTCTAAATTCAACCCCCAGGCACAAAACAAAACCACCAAAAGGTAAGTGAAATAAAACATACGGTAAAAGGTCAAATAACCCAATTCAAAAATAAGTAACATAGCTGGCCATGGTAGTGCATGCCTGTAATCCCAGCATTTGGGAGGCTGAGGTGGCCAGGATTGTAGTGAGTTCTAGGCCAGCCTGACCTACATAACGCTCAAAGTCAGCCTGAACTACACAGCAAGACCCTGTCTCTAAATGAATGAATGATAGATATACAAAGCTGGGCATGGTGGCACATGCCTATAAATCCCAGGACTTTGGGAGGCTGAGGTAGGAGAATCACAAATTCAACCCCAAATTGGGCAATTTAGCAACGTAATGAGACCCTGGCCCAAAATTTTAAAATAAATAAAAAGGGCTGGGATGTAATTCAGTGCAATGGCCCTGGGTTCACTCCCCAAAACTAGGGGAAGGGAAAGGGCAAGGGCAAGGGCAGGGGCAAGGGCAGGGGCAGGGGCAGGGGCAGGGGCA